CCTAAATATGTTATTAGATGAACAGGTAAGTCATGAGTGTTTGGACCACAATCTAATTTCGCAAAAACTATCAATGTTGTATATCCCTCAGCTTTAGAATGAGCTATGTAACCACTGTTGTTAAAATTCATGAAAACAATATGTCTTTCTTTTCAGTATTGGTAACTTTATATATTTTTATTGCACTTTTAATGTTTATTATGTTAAGAAAAAAATAGAAGTACAATTTCCTATCTTTTGTTACAAACGAATTTTTATTTGACGCTTGCTAACAAAAGATTAAATCTTTCACAGCAAAATCTATCGAATCATTTGATTTCAGCGACATTTATATCAGCCTACTCTTACGTGAAATCAATTAAAATCTGAAGTCTAATTAATAGATATTTTAGCAAGGCAAGTAAGTTAACGTTTTCCATATGTCTTACTAGATACGTTTTAATACAACTAATGATAAAATTTATTCCTGTTTTACAATTAATGCATTTGTATAATCCATAATTATTTTACTTAACAACAGAATATTACGATCCGGTTCACACATTTTTAAACAGACACAGGGCATGCTGATGTGGTGTAAAATCAGTTTGCAAAATTTATTTCTTTTCGAGCTTGAATATCAAACATCATACAACTTCTCAAGAAAGACTGCAATAAATTGATAGATCATCCAGATACATCGGCGATAGCATATATTTCCTACTGATTTAGTGTTTGAAAAAAAAAAAAAGAGATCAACAAATACAAATGAAACACACTATCTCGATTTAAACACCAGTGTTATCAACCATTTATCTTCATGTTTTGGTCGTTGGTTCATAAATCTGTATAAAACCAAAATATAAATAACTTTCTTCATCCTAGTCATATACATTCAAACACAAACCACTTGGCACTCTTTCTTTAGCAAAGTCACCCCCAAACGTTATGCTGGACTGAGACAAGTAGAACTAGAATTTCGAACGCCATCCTCTACATTTGAGCTTCATAAGAGGATTGTATAATCAATAATATATTTCTACAAGTGTTTTTCTCGCAGGAAGTTACCGCACATTTCATAGTCAACTCAACGTACGAGTTAATTCAAGTTAATTTCCTTATATAGTATCATGTAATGTCACTCATTTTAAGTTTAGAATAATATATTTTACACCAAAAAATTAATGAAATACTTATAAACAAGAACAATATTTTTAATTTATATGCAGGTAATATAATTTATCCAGCTATATCATATTCATCATATAAAGTACAAAAATATTCGACATTCTTCCTGTTACAAGACGCCACAGTTTGCATCCACGTCTAGGGTACGAATTTTTGACAGTCTATTTGATGGACTTACAACGCTAGAATCAGGGTTTCGATACCCGTGGTGGGCAGATCACAGATAGCCCTTTGTATAGCTTTGTGCTTAACTACAAACAAACAAATTGTTTGATGGTCGTAGTATACAGTATTTCCTTGTTTTCCAATGTCATTAAGTTTAGATAGTCCAGAACTCCTGAGACTGAGAAAGGCAGATTTGGACTAGATACTCTAGAGGCCATGTATTCATACAGGTTGTGCTATTGCTCTGTGGATTTCTAACTGAAACTTACCACATACTGAATAACATGTAAGTTTGTATGTATTTCTGTAATTTACAGTATTAAATTTAATCAGTTCACTGCTCATTTTTTGTTATTTATAGTATTAGCTAGATAAATATATAACAATAAATTTCTTAAGTAGCAATATAAATATTGTTCAAATGTGATAGGCGTGACATACGTTATAACTGCAATCTACACTAACTAACATTTTCTTTATCTATATCTATTTAAAACAGATAAAGTATCCCTAAATTAAGTTGGCTATATTAAAATGTAATCAGATTTCTTATATTTCTTTTGAGCTAAACTTTTATAATTCCTTATCTGTTCTTTTTGTGCTATTATAAGTACGTGCATTATTAGATCTTTTACGTGTGGAAGTTTCTTCTCCTTCAGTTTGAAAATCTGGACCTACTTTTATTTAGCGGTTGTGTAAAATATTTCAACTTTGACCTTTTACTAATTGCATATGTTCGGGAAGTAATACGTCCTGTACAATAAATGGATACTACTCATGCTTTATTATTAATAATTTTATATTCTCTTCGATTGGAAACGTAAACAACGTTTAAATCAATAAGATGGTTTATCATCTTCGACGCAGTGAAAAAAAAAATTGACTCCACTGTTATTAATGATTTTTATAAATTATATTAACATTTACAGCTATACTATTGACTTTTCTCTTAGTCTGTGTACTCTGAATCCCCGAGTGCTATAATGATAGATCTCTTGATCTCAGATGATAGCTAGAGGTCTCTGCGAACTGTGTGTCCAATGCTTTCTTTTACTTCCGCTTCTGAACTATATATGCCTGAGCAACTTTGATGGTTTTATCAGTTGGCGGTGTACTTTCTTTAGCGTTTATACTTTGTTTGCTAGCTTGATACGAGTTTAAAACTATTTCTTCTCAGTTTTTGAGTTCTTCATCATCTTCCGAGGTACGTCTCTATTTTAAGTGTCTCTTTGTTAAATGTACTCTTTATCTAATTCTGTATTATCTTCATTTTATTATTACCATTTTTTTCTCAACTTGTGTTTTTATTTGGTGTGTTCACTTTGTATTTTTATTAGCTTTTAATATTCATATGGCTTTGTTTCTTTAAGTTTCTTCAATTTAACATGAACAACTTGCACACACTTACGATGTGCTCTAGTATCTTAAAGTTGGCGTATTTTGTTTGTCTTATTACAGTCCATTTCATTACTTAGAAAGTTTCTTCGTGTTTCCTTACAATAGAACTGGATATAGCTATATTCTATTTCCTAATTTAATATCACTACTAAATTGAGTTTCCTTATTTACTATTTTTGTTCTAGTTTTTGGCGTGCTATATGAGAAACGCTACTTGCATTTTTTGAATAATGTCTATTTTTCATTCCTAATCTAATCTAATTTACTTTGGAACTTTGCATAAGCAATTGTTACGATTGTGCTATACTCACACTTTGCTTCCCCTTCTTGTATCCATCAATCTTTATTTAAGGTGCACTTATTTATATCGGAAATAGACTCATATCAATGTAAATATAACAATTTTATGTTTATTATTGGTAATCAATGACACATTGATTGAGAAATATATTTTGTTTATAAATGGCAGTATGTTACTTTCTACTTTGGCTTCTCTCATTTTATTTGTTCTCTCTCATCTCCCGGTTTTTCTTCCCATATTTTCCTCGAACTTCTATTTTTTTATATTCTTTTCTCAAACCCACATCGACCCAGCCCCTTCCTTTCTTACTTTGAACATGTTTCCCATGTATCGAATTATAACGCTTCATAACCAAAGGGGTCTTGTAGTCTCCTTATCTGCTGAACATAGAAAGGCGGCTGTTACACTAGCTCAATCCAATCAGTTTTTAATGACATAATCTTTTAGTTCCTTAGAAATTTACCAAAGGATGGCGGCTTTCTCCACTCTCAAAACTTCAACCGACGCTACCTAGCTTCATAATAGCAACACAACTTGTAGCAAAAGGAAGGGGATTTTTGAGTAACTTCATTTGCGGCGCTTCTATAAGATTATAAGTAACAGAAATATCTATACACCTCATGTTTTTCGATCGAACTCACAATGCTATGACAACATATATTTAACTATCTCTCCCAGTCCATTAACAACTAGACGATATCAAGCTGTTTATTTTTTCTTTACGCCTAATAATTCACTTGTTTCCTTCACTAATTTTCAAAATTCTCGTCCCTATCGTTAAGTAAGTATTGTGGAATTCTGTATTTAGCCACAATCTTATTTATATATGCTCTGGTTTTCTCTTTCTTATTTAGAAAACATCCTACCTTGGAAATATCTTTAGCTAGTTTGAATAGACTTATATGTGCTTATTTTCTAAGTATGACGATGTAGGAAAAGGATGTTAGGTGTTTACACTTAACATCTGATGTTGTATATATGATTTCACATTAGTTTATTCTCCCACTTTATTTTTTAATGAATTTACTTTATTTTCTCTTTTTCTCGTTTATAACATTATTTAAACCATGAATATTTAATCATTTCTGTTATACTTTACAACTTCTTTTACCTCGTTAATTATATATTATTTCAATTAAACTAAGAATCTTATAATCTGATTCAACACGATATGTATACTTAGAATACTTTCTTTCAGTTACTTATTACTTTAAAGTAATTGCTAATCTTGATGATAAGTTTTAAACTTTAATCAATAGTTCTTGATAAGAAGTAAATCTACGCAGTCTTACTCAGTTAGTGAATAATTCCTCTTAGCTAAAAATACATATACGCATATACTGAATATATACATATTTTATAGCTTTCTATACGATAGTTGAATTGTTCAATACTACTGCCAATTTACTTTATATATTTTAAAACTCTGAAATACGTGATGTTTTGCTCGACTATGCATACAGCTAATTTATCAGTTTAAACTGGCTCACTTACAAACTCTTAATTTTGCTTAATATCAATGATAAGTATGGTTTCCTTAAGCAGCTTCTAAAACATTTACAGTTACACGTTGTAACTGGCTTTCCTATTGGGATACTATGTTTTCTACCTTAACTGTGAGGTCTTCTTTGGCTAGTTTACTAAAATATTTATCTTTTTTTTTTAAATGTTTCTTTATTGTTGCTTGGAGACTGATTATGTCATATAGTTAACCCAATGAAACAATTTAGTATGATTTTTTGGCCAGGTTTTCAACTTTACTCTTTGTAAATTAATATTTTTTATTAAGGTGGATTATATATTCAGTAAAGATTTGAAATCCAGCTGTAGAGGACTCGAATAAAAATTATTTTACACTAAAACATCCGAGTATACAATATACGTTTAATGATCACTTTGTATTTTCGATTTCAGAGTCAAAAGGAGAGAGAGAGAGAGACTTAATTCACTACACTGTTCACCAAATAAAATGAATTATGTATCCTGTAAAAGTTCAGAACTACCTTTCGCAGAAAACTATAAAATTAAAATGGTTCAACGCATTTATCGGAGTACAAGACAACAAAGACAGAAATGGGTAGAAGAAGCTCATTATAATCTTTTTAACCTTCGAAGTGACCAAGTTTTCATCGATTTGCTAACAGACAGTGGAACTGGGTCAATGAGCGACACTCAGTGGGCAGCAATGATGATAGGAGACGAAAGTTATGCAGGTTCTGATTCTTATCATGTATTACATCAGGTGGTCAGTAATATATTTGGTTTTGATTATGTACTACCAACTCACCAGGGTCGAGCTGCTGAAAATGTTTTGTTTTCAGTTCTAGTAAAATCAGGAGACTTTGTGCCAGGTAACTCTTTTTTCGACACTACAAGGGGTCACATTGAATACCGTAATGGCAAAGCAGTTGATTGTACAATTAGTGAAGCTTTTAATACAACTATCGAACATCCATTTAAAGGCAATATTGATTTGAAGAAGTTAGAGACAGTTATGTCTATGTATTCCAAGAAACATATACCGATGATTATTGTAACAATTACCTGCAATACACTGGGCGGACAACCAGTGTCGATGGAAAATTTACGCGAAGTAAAGAAGGTTGCTGAAAAATATGGTGTGCGTGTGATATATGATTCCTGTCGATTTGCAGAGAATGCTTATTTTATCAAGACCCGTGAAGATGGTTATAGAGACGTGACAATACGAGAAATTGTTCGAGAAATGTTTTCTTATGCTGACGGCATGACAATGAGCGGTAAAAAAGATGGGCTTGTCAATATTGGTGGTTTTATTGCACTCCGAGAGAAATCTTTATTTGATGAATGTTCCTACTTCATTATTATGTTTGAAGGTTTCACTACATATGGAGGAATGAGTGGGCGAGATATGAATGCAATGGCTGTTGGTCTAGAAGAAGTAACAACGTTTGAATATTTGGAAAACCGAATCAAGCAAGTTGCATTCTTGGGTAAGAAGCTCCAGGATTATGGTATTCCATTGCAATTACCAATTGGAGGCCATGCTGTTTACATTGACGCCAAGAGATTTCTACCAAACGTACCCAAAGAAGAGTATGTTGCTCAAACCTTAGGTGTTGAATTATATGTTGAAGCTGGCGTACGAGGAGTTGAGGTTGGCACCTTAATGGCAGACCGTGATCCAGAAACAAAGGAGAACCGATATCCAGAAGTCGAATTTTTACGATTAGCTGTTCCTCGTCGAGTTTATACAAATGACCATATGCATTACGTGGTTATTGCTCTAAAAAACATTTTTCATCGAAGGAGAGAAATTATTCATGGCTTCAGTATAGTAAAGGAAGCTCCTATTTTAAGACACTTTACTATACAGCTAGAAAAAATATCAAGATAAGGAAAACTTCTCTAAGGTTGGTTGTAGTGAAGAAGAAACTATGTTAGAAGCTAAAACTTACTGTTTTTGTTATCGACGACGTTTTATAATATGGAATTTACTAACACATTACAGTCTGTAAACTCTTCAGTTATTGAAATCCACTACAAATAGCTCAAGAACTTAGTGGTGTTATCTGCCAACGCACTGAATAGGACACCCACACTTTCTGCATAAACTTTTAAAATCGATATATTAAATCATATTCATACCTTCTTGAATGTTCACAATAGGTACAGTCGAAACCAAATGTGTGAACTATTAAACTATAATCTAACAACAAGTGTTATGGTGTTATGACACGTATACCATCGCGATTATTAACTTATTGTACTGAATTGATATTGTGTATCACTTGTTTACATATAGTTCGTGCCGTTTCAGACACGACGCTGCTGACAAGATCACAGTTGTTGTTTTTTGTTTTGTTTTTTTACCACCGAATGATCGATTTCGGCCATGTTTGAGTAAAGCGTTATACAAGCATGTAGGCTGTGTTCCACATCATAAATCTTTATGCCTTGCTTTAAAAGTTAGCACCAATCTCAGTTTCGAGCATCAGATGGGCAATCTCGGTGGTGTCTGATGGTGAGTGTCGTATTATAGTCAACACTGTGTGACTGCTAATTTTATAGAGAGAGTAGTCATCCACACTATAAGGAGTGGAATGAATCGTGCAAGTAGGATATGGAGAAAATGATGGCGATTCTACGCGAAAGTGAAACAGAAGCTTTATAAAAAAAAATATTTAGTTTCGGATAAAGTATGCAGCAACTACGGCCCACCAGAGCCTGGGGTCGTCACAGTTTAAGAGGGTCGTAGAAGTGTCTCGATCCAAACTCCATCAGTAATGGAGAGGGAGATATATTAATATAATTAATTAATAATTGTTAATTAACACGTTTTAGACCTTCTAGAGTATGCAGAACGTCCCTCCAAGAGGAAATCTGGCCAACTGCAGCAAAACCGTGACTGACCTTACTATGGCCACCTGAGAGGAGAAAGAAGAAGGGGAAATATCGTAGCTATAATGAATATTAAAAGTTCTTATTTGTGTGTATATACTATCATATTATGACAAATTGTCTTATATTTGCTTTTAATATATATTCATGCACCTACACAACTTGAAAAAATCATCTGTCTATCCATCTATATATATGTATATATATATATATACAGCTTTAGAAGTTAAATTAAAATATTAGCCAATATGCATTGCACGTGTAAAACTAATTTGGTTACAATATCAAATCCATGCGCCATTCAAGTAATACTTCAGTAGTCCCTCCAATCCAGTGTTTACAGACTCCACATGTAGCTACACTTTATAAATATAGGAGTTATATATATGTGATATGTTGATCACAATGCATCATAGTAATTACACATGCAGTACCATTATCAATGATAACATTGTGGCAATGATATCACGAGCAATTGTCATCAAATCTGCATGAAGCCAATCCAAAGATTGTCATTTTTTTCCAAGGTGGCATCATACACCAATTAACTATTTTTAAACCAAACTGTTTCAAATAGGCCAGTATTGTTATTATACAGATTTATGTCCATAATGGATATAAAATAAACAAAAGAAACAAGATTAATAACAATTGTTAATCCAAAAGGGTGAATAGGAATTGTCAAAACTACATAAACAAGATAGGTAGCTTAAAGTGAAAATACAATCGGAAAAACAGTAAAAAACAATCTTAAGGCTTAAAACACAGTGTTGACATCATTTCCTCAAGCTAAAATCCCCTATTTTCACTCTCCTACATATTGCAGCTTTTAGACAAAATAGGGATTTGTATATTGAGGAAATAAAGTCAACTCTATGTCTGAAACCTTAAGCTTGTTTTTTTTTATACTTTTTTGTGACAGCATTTTTACTTTAAGCTACCCAATTTGTTTCTCTATTTTTTGACGATCGCTATTCGGCCTTTTAAATTAACAATTTTTAATAATCTTGTAACGATAGTATTCCAACCATACTATTTTCACCATATCCATCATCGACTATGCTTTATACTCAATCCATAGCTCTTCAAGTCGACCTGAAAGCAACGAACACAGTAGTGGTCGGAACACCATTTATATAATCTATTTATTACAACAACAATTTTTATGGTGTGAACACATTTTACAAGCTCCATAAGAGCTTTATATTGTTTGAAATATATTTTCCACATTATGTATGTATTGCTATAATAGGATGTATTAATATACATACCTATGAACATACTTATAGATACAAGTTTGAAAAGTATTACATTTATATATCATATGTAATGTACCCTATTTTAAATCGTATGATTTAAGTAGTTGACCTGTTCATTTGCATATATTGTTTATTTACCATTGTTGGTTAGTTTTAGTTTAACATTTTCAATTCAAGAATATTTGATACTATTTTCAATATGATTTGATCCTTTTAAACACGTGTATCAATGTTTGATTAAATATTGACAATTTTCCAATTTAGTTTAAACTGGAAAAACACAACATAACGTTCTGGGACATATTAGTTTATCTCGGCTGTTCCATCCTCTAAACTAAATTAATATAAATATTTTTTTAAAAATATCAAATCTTAAATCAAGCCATTATCATTCATATACCTACCAATCGTTTTCTTAAACTTAAATTTACTGCCTCCACAACATCCGAAGGCAACCCATTCCAAAGGCAACCACCCTGTTAAAAAAATATAAATGTCTAAGCTGAAGAAGACACCTACCTTGTCAAAATTTATACTTGTGTCCCCTAGTCCTACTATTCTCACTGTTAGATATGAAAGAGAATTATGGATCAACACTATCAATTCCCTTTACAATCTTAAACACCTCAATCAGATCCCCATAACCCTTCCATTTTTTCAAGAGAAAACACTTTGAGAGATTTTACCATCTCCTCGTATGCCATCCCCTCCATCACAGACACCATTCTACTAACCTTTCTCTGAACCCTTTCTGACAATTCGATGTCTTTCCTAAGGTAAGGAGCCCAAGACTGAAAATAATATTCCAAATGTGGCCTAACCAGTGACCCACACAATGAAATTATAACGTCTTTAGACTTGTATTCTATATTTCTGTAGATAGAACCAAAAATCTTATTTGTCCTACCTTATTAACAGCACACTGCTTAGATGATGTTAGAGACTGATCAACTATTACAATAAGGTTCCTTTCTTTCATAACACTTATAATTAAAATTAAGGTAACCCACATGCATTATCATGCATTTATTATAATTAAACCCTTCCAACATATACTTATATCTGAAATTATGATAATCCACAAGCATTATATTGCATTTATTATAATAAAAACCCATTTACCATATATTTGCCCTACTCACTAAATGATCTAAATCCTTTTGTAAATCAGCAGCATCCTCTTCGCAGCTAGTAACACCCAAAACCTTAATATCATCTGCAAATTTAAATAGTTTATTGACCATTCCTTCATCTATGTCATTGATGTAAGTCAAAAAGAGCAAAGATCCTAAGACTGAGCCCTGAGGTACCCCACATGGGACATTAATCCAATTTGACTGAATTCCATTTGTAACAACCCTCTGCTTTCTTTCATCTAGCCACTCTTCTGTACAATTTGCTAACGTATCCCCCGCACCTATAGAGATAATTATTTTACAAGCTTCTTATGTGGCACTTTATCAAATGCTTTCTGAAAATCCAGATACACCAAATCTACACTCTTAACCTCATCTACATAAGCAGAAATATTTTCAAATAATGTTAAAATAATTTTTAGGCGAGATTTTCCCTTAGTGAAACCATGTTGACTATCCAATAAAATTTGAAATTTTGTTAAATGACTTTGCAAAGCATCTTTTAGCAGACTTTTCCCACAACTGAAATAAGACTTATGGGTCTATAATTACTGGGGCAATTTTTTCACCTCCCTTGAAAAGAGGAGTTACATTAGCTAACTTCCAATCCTCTGGTACTTGCCCACTATTCAAGGACTGACAAAAAATAGTAGCAAGTAGCTCACATATCCAATTTTTATCCTCCTTCAAAACCCTTTGCGAAATATTATCTGGCCAAGGAGCTTTATCGTTCTTTAAACTTCTAAATTTCTTCTTATCCAGCTCAGAATTACCGCATTCATCTTGTTTGATCTCGTTTCCATGTATCAGTTGTTCAAGATGTGGAATACTGCTTAAATCTTTGTCAGTACAAACCGATTGTCGTCATGGGCTGTTGTCAGCCTTTTAAACTTAGTAATATCTTGTGTTGTCTAAGTATTAACATAGTCTGTTGTAAAGTTCAAATTATTTCTACTGTTAGAGACAAATTTGATGGTAAAAATTAAATAAAAGTAGACGGCGTAGAAAATAATGTCAAATAAAACCCTACAATTTATCTATTATAACCCTTCCCATCCTGCTAGTTTTGGTACAGTACAACCTTTATCTAGATCTGTAAAGTCTAAATCAGGTTAAAGACTGATTAATTCAACAAGATACATACACTTTGCACAAATCAGTAAAATATAAGGGAATGATGAACAATGGCAGGCTGATTTAGTGGATCTCTGTAACCTAAGTCAATATAACTATCAGTTTAAGTATTTACTCACGTGTATCGACGTGTTTTGTAAATATACATGGATTGTTCCACTCAAGGATAAGACAGGTGCAACACTTGTAAAATATTTCAAACTAATTTTAAACAGGGTTGAAACCCTTGTAAGCTACAAACCGATGCTGGGACAGAGTTTACTAATCGTCTCTTTCAATGATATATCAAGAAACAAGACATTCACTTCTTTACTACACATAACGAAACAAAAGCATCTATAGTAGAAAGATTTAATCGCACTCTTAAACTAAAATGTGGCGCTGCTTTACTCAATATAGAACTTATAAGTTTATCACGCTATTGAAACATCTGGTCAGTGCCTATAATCAATCGTATCACCACAGTA